ACTACTACTACTACTACTATTACACCTACTACTGCTGCTACTGCTGCTACTGCTACTACTGCTACTACTATTGCTACTGCTACTACTGCTGCTACTGCTTCTACTGCTACTCCTACTACTACTACTACTACTACTACTACTACTACGACTTCTACGACAAACGCTGGTGCTGCCAACTACTGCGTTGGAAAGCTCTACACCCCGAACCTGAATTGACGAGTCGAAACCAGATGGGTTCAACCCTACAATCACCCTACTCTGACCGCACAGAGCCCCCCAAACCTTAGCTTCTGAGCCCGAATTGAATTGTGTCGTGATGCCCAGGATAATGGGACGCTGTCCAAGGTCTTCGAGCGCGTCAGTGGCACTGGAAGGAAAAGGGGGGGACGGGGGTGAGCTTCTTTGGAAGAGCAGGGGCCTCTCATTTTGACCCTAAGCCCTAAACCGTAAACTCCTAAACCTTCTCTTGCCATGCCAGCTTTGTGCGAGAGTGTGTGTGTGTGTGTGTCGAAACTCCAACCCTTCACCCTAAACCCCAAACCCTAAACTCTAATCCCTAAACCCCTAAGCCTGCGCCGAGTGATCGTCGGGTGTGGGGCGCGGAAGGAGGAGTTTGAGGTGTCAGCGCTCGGGTTTCCGACACGACGCCCCCTTGAAGGCTTGTTTTTGCTCATTATCCTTACATTGTAGGGGGCCTAAATAATTAGCCCGAAAACCCTATTCTAATTATTAATGCCCCTGTATTAACCAGAAGTCAGGGTTATATATATATATATATATAGGAGATTCAGGCACTTGGGAAGTGTATACATGGCTCCCTTTAAGTATGGTGAGTGCAGATTCCGGGTGTACCAGGGAGCGACTGGCTTTTACTAGTAGCGGCAATCCTACATCATATAGCCACTAAGCCTTAAGCCCTAAATTGAGATCCTGGGGATGTGGAAGTGCACAGGCTTGGAGCTCAGAGTGATTGTGCTGCCAGAAAAAATTGAGATCCTGGGCCGAGATGCATTAAGGATTGCAGATCATTCTAGCCTTTCAAACAGATGCAACGTAGACCACAGACGAGGGGGGTGCAGGACTCTCCACCTCCAGGCATTCGAGACGATCCTTTGCGACTTTGGCAACACTGCAGCTGTCCTCTCTTTGGTTTCGGGTTGCAGTTAGGTCTGTTCATTCAGGCAGGGTTTGCAGTGGATCTGGGCTTGCCGTGTTGAGGCTGTAGGTTGCTCAGTCGCAGGGCAGCGGCGGATGATGACATTTTCAATCCATGAACTAAACAGGTCCCGCTCCTTGGAGCAAACGTGAGGAAGGCAAATCTAAACCCGACCGCGGAGGCCTGAGAAAAAGCAACCCATACCATACACCCTGAACCTTATTCCCTGTAATCTCTAAACCGTACATCCGAGACCACACACGCTCCAAACCTCAATCCCCCGACCCCACAGCCTCAACCGGCAACCCTACTGCTTTAATGTAATCCAAACTCTCACACCCTGAGCCCTGCACCCTAAACACCCGCACGATGAATCTTAAGCCCTAAGGCTTACAACCCTTAAACCCTTAACCCCTCCCCTAACAACTATGCCCGAAACCCATATCCGAGTGAGAGCGTCAAAAAGTCATAAACCCAAAACCCCTAAGCCCCTAAACCATAAACCCTAAGCCCCTAAGCCCCTAAGCCCCTAAACCTTAAACCCTAAACCCCTAAGCCCCAAAACCCCAAAGCCTTGAAAGCAAAACCCCGTCACAAGGCCGCCTGCGTCTCGCGAGCCTCCTGGCGCGGCCTTGGCGCGCCAACCTTTCAGTGGCTTCGGTGCTTTTCTAAGGGGCGTTTAGGGTTTTTAGGGTGTGTTTCTAAGAGGGTCTCTTTTTTTGCCTGAAGGCAGGGTTTTTAGGGTGTATTTCTAAGAAGGTCTCTTTTTTGCCTGAAGGCTGCGTACAGTTACACAAAACTTGGAACATGGAAACGGACTTGTCGTGTGGAAGATACGGGCGGAGAGTGAAGCTCTTGTCGTTTGTGGGTGGTTGTCCCTCTGTTCGGCCCCGACAACTTTTCACATCGCTTGGTTGCTCCAGGGCTCGACTTTGTTGGTGATTGCATGTGATTGCTTGATGATTCAGGTCCACGGGTTTCACAATTTGGTGCTGTTCCTTCTTTCTCGTCGCCTGGAACCGTTTAACCTGCATAGGTTCTTGGCTCAACAAGCCAGGTGGCTTCTTCTGAAACAAGCCAGGTGTGGGAAGTGCTTACACGCTTATGCCTTATACCTCGGTGCTCTTCCACAAGAAAAGATCCTTCTGCCGCTCTCAAAGGCGCGATTTCGGATGATGATGATGATGATGATGATGGTGATGATGATGATGATGATGATGATGATGTTTTCCTGTGCTAATGCTAGTGCACAGCTGTGGTGGCACTGCCGGAGGCTCATACGAAGGGCCCTCTGCATTGGTGGCGATACCCTTCGAATCAGCAGACTGCTCGCCAAGGTGGTGGATTACAGCTGCTCCAGAGCCACGGACCAGTGCGCATTTGGGGAATTTGGGGCTCTTGGCCTGGGGTTCAACATGAAAACACCCGAAACTTGGGATGTCCATCCATCCGATCGTAAGACCGAGATGTGGTCCTTTTGAGGACGAAACGCACCGACAGACACGGCAATATAGGATAATACAGGGGCCTCAATAATTACCAGTACTATTTTTATTTTATTTTTATTTTTTTTTGGGGGGGGGGTCCTGATTTTTAGTATAGTATCATAGGCCCCAGAACCCTATTCTGATTTTTTCAGGCCCCTTCATTCATCATCATCGAGGAACGAAGCCTCCAAGGCAGAGCCTCAAGCTGGAAGTCGCGGAGTCTGAATCCCCAAGCTCAGCATGCGAGGGCCTGCCGGGGGTTCTCAGTTAGGGTGCACCTTCTTTGTGGTTTTGCTGAGAGTGCCATACTCTTTCGGAGAAATTCAGGAGGGATGATCCGAATCTGGACAGCTACCCACGCAATGGAAGGTACATCGATGCAAAGAACATGCGCAGCTTCTTCTTCGGCCATCGGCCTGGCGCCAGAGGGCCCCAGGCCGTCTGTATGAGCTTAAAGCCGAAGGGCCTCAAGGCTTTTTGAAGCTTCGGCGTCAGGGTTCAGGTTTTGGAGATGGATTTTGACACCTCGGGCTGCGAAAAGGGGTTGGAAGCTATAGTTATAGCTTCTGATATGAACTATGGGGTTTCTGAAGAATAGGGGTACCTCATGTAGGGGTCCTTACCACAAGGGTCCGACTATTTTGGTTTATGGTCCCTAGCCGGGTTTGTAACCGAATCCCACTCATATGCTCCTTCAGGAAGGGTGGTTGTGTGTCCTGTCAGGTCTGCCGTTTCCTTTTTAGGGTTTGGGTTTAGGGTT